AATTATTTTGTCAGACTTTGGGAGAAACAGCTCCTAAACGTGCAAATTAACTCTTTTTGTCATGGCCTTTAAGGGCAACCTGAAAAGAAAAAAAGAGTGTCTGGTAGAATGATGGCTGGTTCAGCAATTTGCTCTTCTTACTGGGTGAACACTGCCAGTTCAGATCTTAGAAAAATCTCAGATGAACGTGGTATTGCCTGGTGGGAATGTTACACACAGAGACATCGACGAGGCTGTGAACTTTCACATACTAAGGGTCATCCAGAATGCCCCAGCAGAGGAGGACCCAAAGACTTTTATTATGATGCAAGAATGGAAAGGTCATTGTAGACCTGTCTTCCTCAGAGTTACATAAATAAATAAATAAATAAATAAATAAATAAATAAATAAAATAATTTTTTTGTCCATACTATCTCTTTATGGTAAAAAAAAAATAAGAGTCTGTTCTTTTGAAGATGCAATACTTTTTATTTTTAAAAGAATGTTTTATTAGCATGTATTAATTCTATATAATAATGGATTTCATTAGTACATTTTCACACACAGTCTTAATGTATTTGGACCATATTCACCACTAGTCCTCACTACTTTCCCTTCTCCCCTTCTTACTTCGGTCAACCCCAGTTCAGTTCTCTTCCCAATCAAGTCTCCCTCAATTTTCACCTTCTGTCTTGTTCTTTCTGTTACCTGATTAGCTTCCTTAGGGTTGCTTACAAGATTATAGGTATCTTTCCGGTGGTATCACCACTGAAGAAAATATCTCTCACTCCCCATCAGCCATTAACTGCTTTTTAAATCCTTAGGGAAGATGAGGTTCCCATGAACCACACCCCTCCCGTGACAGGATGCCGAAGTGTAGAATCTTATGTAGATCTTGTTCCAGGAGTTACAGTTGTGAGTTCAGGAGAGCAACAGTCATGAGATGCCGAGAAATCAGTGATACTTAAAAAAAATTGGCATTGTTGTCCCATTTGTGGCTGGGCATTCAATACTCCCTCAGTCTTAGTATTTTGGCCAGTTATGAGTTTCTTTGGCTACTGTTGACCACTAGAGGCAGGGAAGGGAATGTTTCTCTAACCAAAACAGACAGCAACACTGGTTTATGGACATATATACATAGCTATTTAGTGGGGAATGTTATGGGTACGCCATGTCTACTTAACAAAACAATGGTAGGAGTTTCCCTACTAGCATGTCTACTTAGCAAAACAACTAGGGCCTATGGTTTGCTTAGCTATAGGCTTTTGATTGGACCAGATATGAACATTGTGGAGTCCCATCCAAATGCAAGCAGAAAGTGGTTGACTAAGTCCATAAAAGACTTGCCACCATCCTAGCAGTGGCTTTATCTTGTCTTGCTAGCTGGTTTGATTGTACATAGATCATACTTGAGTAAGACTGTTGGCGATTCTCCACCAGCAGCCTGCACGATACCCTTGGGAACTGTGGGGTACAGCTAGCAAATACCAAGAGATTTTTAAGAGATATGAATGAATGATGAGAAAATATTGCTAGTTATCTAGTGGTTCTGGGAAGGCCAGTAATGAACAGGGTTTCTTACCCAGATATCAATGTGTGTTATACCAGTAGTAAGTCACTGAATAATTTATTTTAGGTTACCTATTCTGAGACCAAGATGGTTGTGAGACTCTCCACTTTCTTTCAGAATGTCTGAGTAAAGGAGCAGGTGGTGGCCATCTCCTTCACCATCACTGTCTTAGTCAGGGTTTCTATTCCTGCACAAACATCATGACCAAGAAGCAAGTTGGGGAGGAAAGGATTTACACTTTTGCATTGCTGTTCATCACCAAAGGAAGTCAAGCAGGTCAGGAAGCAGGAGCTGAGGCAGACACCAAGGTGGAATGTTACTTACCGGCTTGCTTCCCTTGGCTTGCTCAGCTTGCTTTCGTATACAACTCAAGACTGCCAGCCACCACAATGGTATGGCAGTCTACCCACAATGGGCCCTCCCACCCTTGATCACTAATTGAGAAAATGCCTTCCAGCTGGATCTCATGGAGGCATTTCCTCAAGGGAGGCTCCTTTCTCTGTGATAACTCCAGCTTTTGTTAAATTGACACACAAAACCAGCCAGTACGATTACCATTACCAATACCATCATCATCACCATCAGATCACCATCACCGTCACCGTCACAGGCCTTGGTGTAATATGCTCCCATTCAGCCCCTACACCAGATCAGTCAACAGCATCAACAAGGTCACACACTACAACTACCCAGTGCCTGTCTGAGATAGTGAGAACATGCCCATAGATCCAGCCACCAGGCTCCACCCCCCAGGGTACAAGCCTGAGAGGCTTGAAGCACCTGTGAACACTCGTACAGATAGAAGAGGGCCCCTCTCCTATGCTCCCCAATAAAAACAAGAAGGAGACCATTACCTTAAGATGTTCTTTGGCGTACATAAGTGTAACTGCCGTTTCTTTTGTAACGGCCGTCAGGTTCTGTTACTTTGTAAAGGCCGGCCGGTTCTGCTGCTCCGGTCGGCAGGTCAGGGTCTAGCAAGAGAGAAAGTGGGGACGGAGGAAGGGGAAAAAAGGGGCGAGAGACGCAAAAGATAGATACAAGCCAGAGTCCGGTGGAGTCTCTTCAAGTCTTCTTTATTCTCCTATCTTCTTACTATATTCTCACTCCTTCAGTCTCCTGACACCTCTCACTTTCTCTCTCCTTCCTCTACTTCCTACTTCCTACTACCTCCTACTACTTACTACCTCCTACTTTCTACCTCTACCTCCTCTACTCCTCTACTTACTTCCTACTTCCTCAATAGAAAGGAAATCCTGGGTATTTATACCCTTTACCACGTGACTTGCCCTCGTGGACAATCTCAACTGAAGCCACTACGTCACGTGCCTTGTAGCCATGGATACCAGGAGCACCTGGCAGCTGGGGGCACTAAACAGTGTAACAAGATGTTTATCAGAGTGCGCTCAGCTATTGCAGGCTGTTGAAACAAGTCTCTTGTCAGGGTATATGGCTCGAGATGGCTGTAAAGATGATAGCCACTTTCGGCTAAGAGTCGGCTCCCAACAATAAGGCTTTACCATTTATTAAAGACCAACGTGACTGCACATGAATGAGATGCGTATGCTTGTTTCTTTTTACGGTGACTTAAACTGGCTGAATATTTTGAACTCGGGTGTAGAACACCTTCGGTTTTTCAGGGCTGATCCATACGTTGATTTTACAACCATCAGTCCTGGGGACACAGCTTCTCATGAACACACAAGTCCAAAACGGTAGAAACATGTTTAGGGATGTTTCAGAAATTGTTGGAAATGTGAGTATGGACTTAAAAGAGCTAAGGCTGCCGTGAAGTGGCACCACACATCAGAGGCTGGTGCCACCAGAGACACCTCAGCTCCTTATGCGTTGGATTTTTTGATTTACACCTTGGCTGTTGCACACTCAAAACCTTTTGACTATTGTGAGGGTTTTTATAGCCCCACCTTCAGTTCCTGAGCACAGGATTGCAATCCTCAGTTTTAAGATCAGAGGAATTAGTCTTCTCATAAGACTCTATTTGAGATAGAGGAGCTCTCCCGGGGATAGAAGGTGCAGCAAGAACAGGCAAAGATGCACTGCATGTTCTCTATTGTTGATGATGCAGCTCACATCAGTTGAGCTGGTCTTGGGGACTTCTAATTTTGCTTCTAGTTTAAGTCTGAGTAGAAGTGTGTGAGTGTGTGTGTGTGTGTGTGTGTGTGTTGGGGGTGGAAGGTGGCACCACTTTACAGCTGAGGTCTCTGGCTAAAATAAGAAATCCTTGCTAATATGGAAGGCCACAGCTTCCCAGGATACAAGAGCATCCCCGGACATCTCTGGGCTGAAGCACAAGCCAAGGCAGCAGAGCATCACAGAGCATCCTGAGATTTTGCAGCCCTGTCTTTTCATACCGGGTCATTGTCCTGTAGGGAAAGCTGTGGGAACTGAGACAAGTCCCGGGACTCTCTCCGGGGTCTGAATCTGCTTCAACCTGCACATCACAGCCCAGAATCCAAACGTCTTCATTTATGGAGTAAACATAATCCCACCGTATAAACGGTTCACTTCTCTTCCAGGTATTTTGCTAAAGATACATCAAATAACAGAGTTTTAAATACTGGGAATGGTAAAAGCATGGTTAGATTCTTCCCTGGAACAGGGTGGGTTTAAACGAAAAGTGCCCAAACTCAGTCCAGAAATCAGCCCCAACGGTCTCACAACAGGATTGAAGATGGACCTCCTACAGGAGAGGCCATCTTCCTGGGATCTGACCTTCCCATTTCCTTTCTTCCCGATGATACAGGCAGCTTTTCAGCAGCAAAGCCAATTCGATTTGTTAACTGATGGTCCTGCTTCCTAAATGGATTAAAAAAAAAAAAAAAACATGATAAATACAGAGTGCATTGTGGGTGAAGAACAAGTCGGGTCACTGTGGGCGGATTTAGCAGATGGAGGTTGCATGGTGAGGGTAGGGTCGAGGAGTCTGCTTGGCACAGCATACATGTGTCCAGTGACTTATATGAAGCATTCACACATGCAACCACAGCAGAAGTATGAGTCTTTCACGGGGATGTGAAAGTGTGTCCACAGTGCCTTTGTGGGGTGCATAGCGTGATTTCCTGGGCATTACCCCGAGTTCACCCTAGGGCAATGAGAGAAAAGAAGGGCAGGAATGAAAATGGCAGATGAAGTTTGTTATTCTCCCCTCCCAAGGGATTTAGGAAATGGTTTTGGGAAAGAACACAGAGTGCAAACTGCATCTCTGGTCTGTCTTAAGCCCCCGAGGAGTTTGCAGTTAAGGGAAACTGGGGGTAGGTGGCGAGGGTCTAAAGGGTGGAAGGAAGCGGCATCAGTCAACTTCCTCGGCTGCAGTGGCTGTAGCAGCCGGGTTTGCACCCGGCTGGGCAGCCCTCCCCTGGGCCGGGAAAGGGCGGAGCTGGGCGTCGCCGTCCGGGTTGTCCCCTCCTCCTGGCCTCTCTCGGGTGCAGAGCCCTTGGCAGTCGGGGCGGCTCGGAAGGAGCTCTCCCGGAGCCGGAGTCGGGAGCTAGGCTGGCGGAGCTGGGCTGCAGGAGCTCGGCCGCGCCTGGTGTTGGTAAGTCTTGTCTGTGGGGGCGGGGAGCGGGCAGGGTGCAGGTCTCCAGTGAGATGCTGGCGAGCCTCTGCCAGAGCTGGGAGGCGGGGATGTCAGGATCTCGGCGTAGAGGAGCGCCTGACCCGACCTGCAGGGAGGATGTAGAACCGCATTGGCAGGTGCCCCGAACCTAGGGGCCCGGGCTGGGACCTGATGTTAGAGTTTTAATATCGGTTTTTAGAATGCAGAACAGACAGTCCAGACCGTGGAGTTGGGGAGCTTCAGAACCCTGAAGGGTTGGAGCAAGGGAATCCAGACTGCAACGGTGAGGAGCTTGGGGATGGGAACCTGGAGAGCTGGGGTTTGGAGTAGATGTCACGACCGTGAATTGAGGGCGTCTGATCCCAGAGAACAGGAGAGGAAGGATGTAAAGGAGGGGTAGTTCTGTGCGCATTCTTGGGGCGCCCTCCACAGGGCAGAGGGGAACGGAATCCCGGAGGGGAATGCCGAGTAGAGAAAGAACAGGGCGGAAGGGGGTGCTCAAGGGAGGGGAACCCCGGAAAGAGTAGGTGAGAGAGGCATGAGCTCCTCCTTGAGGACGATGGAGCGGGATTCTCTAAGGAGACAGCGCAGAGAGTTGCGCTGAAAGCTGGAGGTTGCTGATTTAGGGGCTATGGTGGACCGAGGAATCGGAAAGCACAAAGGGACGGAGGTGGCCGGCGGGACAGAGCTGGGAGCATCTCAGCCATGAGAGTGCTGTCTTTTCAGTGGAGGTGGCCATGGACACCTCAAGATGGTATTCCCTTGACAACAGATTGAGGAACCCTAGATAGGACAAGTGGAGACCCACCGTTGGCGAATCCAGGCGTATTGGAGACCTAGTGGAATGGTGACCAGTTGCCAGGAGCAGGAGGTAGCCAATGCTCTTAACTTTCTGAGTAGCTTTAGATACCCAGGGATATTAGAGAGACCCTTGGTCCCGGTGAGCACTTTGTCTTGCTTATGCGTCGCCTCATACTGACCTGGGTTAGAAATGGCTTTGCTTGGGGGTGCAACGAGGAGAGACTAAGCTGAAAGGAATAGTCATGGAGTGAGATTTCCGACACACACGGGACATCTACCTGTGTGCTTTGGGCAGTGCTCATACGATGTAGGTGAGTGTAGTGTTATAATCCATAGGTACTATTTGTTCTCGTCCAGTGAGAGACAGCTTCTGAGGGAGGTCAACAGGCACACAGCATTCCATATGCAAACTTTAGTGTTCGAGTGTCCCAGAGTCCTTGTTTGTATTAAGGAAGATTTGGTCTCCTGCGGCTAGTAGGAAGTTACCTTTATAGAAGGCACTATCTACACTTCCCTTGTTAAGATTATTCATGGTCTGCTCCCATGTCTGGGCTGTTCCACCCTTGTTCTGGTCCATCCCTGGCATCTCAGAGACTAGGTATCTAAGTGAGTATCTAAAAACATGACGTAAGCAGGCTCTGTTTTCTTTTGTTTATCTTGGGCGGACACATTGTTTCACTTAAAGTAATGTTGGGCATCTTGTTGACCTACTGTATATAATTGATTGTGTGTGGTGAGTAGTTTCTTTGGGTGTGACAACTGAATCACGGTTTTTCTCTGTGATTTCTCTGCATTGGAAGGTACTTGGGTTTGGGAAAGAATATCTTTCCTACTAGGCTGTGAGGACAGGTTCATCCTCTGAGGCACGCTCAAATGCTGGCTCATCAAGAAAGCTTAGGGCTTTTTTTTTGGGGGGGGGGAAGGTCTCATGTAGCCCAATTTTGGTCTCAAACTTAACTACATAGCGAATCCTTCGGTCCCCATTACCCAAGTGTTGGGATTAGAAGTATGTGTCAACACACTTAAAAGTTTAGGTTTTTATTCTATAGTTCAGGGGATTAAACACTGAGCCTAGCACAAGCTAATCAAGTACTCTACCCCTAACTACAGCCCCAATCCCCAAGAGCGACTTTGGAAAGTAACATTTGGTGGGTGTGTGTTTTTGTTTTGTTTTAAGACAGGGTCTTTTGTGTATTCCTGGCTGTCCAGGAATTCAGTATGCAGATCAGGCTGGCCTTGAATCTATAAAAAATCCACCTGCTTCTGTCTCCCTAATACTGGGATTGTGCTCCACCCTGGGTAGCCCAGTGTGGTTTTTGTTGTTGTTGTTGTTATGTTTTGTCGAGGATGTTAGTGCTGTGTTTTAAATTTTCTTTGGCTTTTGTTTTCATGTTTCCTTTTTCTTTCGGGAAAGGGAAAGCTTTAAGAACGAAGCAAATCTACAGGAAAAGCACGTTTTCATTGCAAAACGCCACGTCCGAATGGAACGAACGCACTTTGCTGCGCAGAGCACATACATAGAGCTTGTCGAACAGCCTGACACTTGCGTGAAAGATCCGCAATATCCTTATTGCAACAGTGTATTTACTCACTTCGACATAAAGCCAAATGATGCTTTCATTTTCTAATCCAAGTATTCAAATAAATATGTCTGCATGTATACATTCAGATGAATAGTTCTCCCCTTCAAACGCATTCCCTTGGCAAGCGGGGAACTAAATGTAGTGATGCTGTCATTGCTGAGAATAGTCCCGGAGCGCCTGCTTTGGACCTGCCTTTAGATTCTGCAACACATTTGCTGCTTGCCCCAGTGCCTGCAAACCTGCAGTTGGCAGAATGAGGCCAACTTGGGTTTCTGGAGAGCTGAGGTTATTATATGAAGTATGAAAAATAGTGACGATTCTCTTGAAGGTTTTAGCAATTCAAAGTGGGGGGAGGGCTTCCGGTAAACGTGTGGCTTTTTCTTTCTTTTTTAAATCAGTGCTTACTCAGAAGTTGCAGATTTGTGACAACAACGAACACCTGAGATAATCACCTTAGAAGAAAGAAGGAACAACCTGGGAAAACCTTAGAACAGTGGTTCTCAGCCTTCCTAGGCTGTGACCCTTTGATAGCGTTCCTAATGTTGTGACCCCCCCGCCCGCCATAAAATCATTTCATTGCTATTACATAACTGTAATTTTGCTACTGTTATCAATCGTAAGATAAGTATCTGATATACAGTATGTCTGATATGTGATGCCGGGGGGGGGGGGGGGGGTCGAGACCCTCAGATTGAGAACCACTACTTTAGAAGTGTTTGTCTACTTGGCCTGATTGATTTCAGCTTATGAAAGGGCAGAACTGCAGGGCTGGGAGTACATTTCAGGACAAAGCCGCTCCCCTCGTGGTAGTTGGTAATGAGGGGGAGAGAGAACGAGAGAGAGAGAGAGAGAGAGAGAGAGAGAGAGAGGG